GAATTGCTTGATATCTCTATGCCTCAGTTAACCCATCTCCAAGCTTCACTGACCAGTTGTTTCCCTCAGAAGTGAAAATGAGCTTTAAGTCATACAATCCTGTCAAGATATTTGAGCTCCCCATATATAAAATAATCTGTAAAACTGCAATGGCCTTAGTGTGTGAGCAGACCCTTAGGGAGACTCACTCCATCACTGACTCAACGCAGGCTCCTGAGTGCTGAAAATCCCTGCTGCAGCTCTCCTTCCTACCATGAGATGTATCTGATGAAACTCACTACAGCTGAGACCTTTCTGCAGTGTATGTTAAAGCCATTTATTCTTGAAAAAAAGGTTTTCTGCTAGCATGGGACTTCACTTTCTAGAGAACTCACTCTGACTACAGTGGAAAACACAATGAATGCTGGAGGCTGAATTGTCTTCATAAATGCACACGCAATTAAAAGAGGCCTAAGATTCAGTTTCAGTATTTTCAGTTTGGTGCTAGTTTTAGCACTTTCAGTTCTACAGGCAGACAAGAAATGGTGCTAAATCCATGCCCGTGTGAGTCAACAGCTATGTCCTATTGACTTCAGCAAGTGTAAGCTTAACCAATCAGATGTAGGAGATATCACCTATTCAGTACAAAGTTTCTGTCTCAGGTCATATTGGCTTGGCCTTTACCTAGCTGTAAAAACAAACTACAGTCTCTGACATGGCTATACTTCAGCCTCAGTAAAGCTATTTAACTTGTTTCTGCCAGGTAAGAATAAGAACTGTAAATATTCAGGAAGCACATGTGCAAAATGCCCCTGAAAATTAACTTCAGAGATGCTGGGTATTATGATCCATTCTCACAACACTTTAATGTGTCAAAATGCCCAGCAGCTAAAGCAAACCCAGGGCCAACTCCAATCTTTTATGTAGACTCCCCATCCCCCTCTTCCCTGTTTCATGTGTCAATGCCAACACTTTAGTTTCACTCTCATGAAAGGTGAACAAACATGAGATTTACAAATGACCAATCCTACATATGAGAACAGCTCAGAAGGATTAGCTCTGTGAATAATCAACAACAATTTTCCCTCACATTGCAATGACTTTTGTGTGGCAGAAGATGACTTCCTAATGGAATACTGAACTGTCTCCAGGAGCATGTGCCATGCCAACGAGTGTAATCTTGTTTAGTATCAGACCACTTATCACCGGGTCTTTGCTGACACAGAAGCTTCAGACAGCAGTATAATTTTTTTTTTTTCATCTCTATTTCTGAACATCTTGCTGCAATGGTTTCTAGCCTAACATCACATTCATTTCTTTAGGGAAATGCTGCTGTTCAGCAGATAATACAACATTCGGGAGCATTTGCAAGGGAGGTTCTAGGCATAGGGAAGAACAACATCTCACACAGAATCCCCTAGAAACTGAGCTTAGTGGTCCTGCAGTGCTGCAGGTTCCTTCAGAAATTATTCTCCCTTCTTCACTGAGAAACTGTACCAACACTCTCAGTTTGGTGCTAGTGAATGTTCATTCCTAACACTGCCACTTGGAAAGCACAAGAAACACAATTAAGAGGCTACAGTGATTGATTTGCAGAAAAGATTAAAAGCTGAAATACATCTGGCTTGGGTTTAAGATGGCTTATCATAGATAACACAAAATTTTAAAACTCACTTGAATAATTGCTCTCCACCTGAGCAGTGCCAACCGTTGTTACTCAGAATAATGAGATGGAGCCAGTAACAGTGAGAACTGAGTCTAGAGACTAGGAAAGAGTGAAGAATTGTCTTCCCCAAAGAGAAAGTGGAAGACTAAAACTGTGACAGTTACTTGGGTCTGGGCAATGTCCTAGAAAATGACACTGGAACAGGTTGCCCAGAGATGCTGTGGCTTCCCCCTCTGTGGAAGTGTCCAGTGCCAGTCTGGATGGGGATTTGAACAACCTGATCTACCAGAAGGTATCCCTGCCCATGGCAGGCAGGTTGGAACTAGATCTTTAAGGTCCCTTCCAACCTGAATTATTCTGTGATTCTATGGAAATGTCTAGTAGAGAACAATAAAAGAACTACTTGTAGGGAGACTAAGTAACATAATAAACTTTTTCTGTCTTTAACTTATGCAACTAACCAGCAGCTTCCTGAATTTAATATCAGCTATTTGTCGCCGTTCAGCTTTCCTTCATCAGTGCTACATTATGCATTGGAATTAGTAACAAAGGGCTATTCCATGTATGAGGAATTCCCCAGTCTTTGTCCAGTACCCACATGGAGGAAAATTCTTCCAGTGCCTTCAGTTGTACACATGGTAGGTCATAGCATGGCATTGTTTAGGATTTATTAAAAAAAAGAAAGTTTGGAGAGCACTATTTTTTAATGAAGTGTGTTATTAACTTACAATTTAGTAGCCTATACAATTTCAAGAGCAGACCTTGGTGCCTGGAGTTTTTTCCATGACAGGTGTGTAAATTATTCCTAAACTTCTTATGAGATAAGTGTCCAGCCATTGTCTCTCTGTTGTGAAGCTAAATGTTCCTTTGCTTTGCGATCAGAGTAAAATCCGTTATCTAAGAAATCACTTTGGATTTCAGGTGCAAAAGCACCAGACACAATTGTACTGGGTCAGGTACAGCAAAAGCAGAGTGGGACCAGGGATCCTGCCCCAGAGAGCTCCTGCGTTGCAAGAAATGGCACAAGCATGAAGGTGATTTAGAAGAGGACCACATTAAAGTAGCATGAGACGGTCCAAGTCTGTCTTTATTGAGAAAGAAAATCACCTTGCTAGAAAGAAGACGTGAAGACATGGCACAGTTCTTGTCATTTCACCTTCATGGAGTTATGCAAATTACTCTCCAAGGTCTCCGAGTGAGCCGGAGCTCAGAGGCTTCTAGGTCTGTGAGATGACTGAGAAATGGTTTCCTGGGAGAGTAACAGAATGACCTGATAGGTAGCTCAAAGGTAAATCTCCACTTTCCAGCCTTCAGCTTGTTACGGGAACACTCGTTACAAAAACTGATCTCCATCCATGACATTTTTTTCTAGCCAAAACAGTGCTTGACTGAAGAGCTGTTGACTTTGCGAAGGTTAAAGGTGGCTGCCTTAACCAGCAAATGGGATCTAGCGAGAGGGGAGGATTGTTGTTCTTTCTTCTTTCAGGAATGCAGTGTCAGGAAGAGGCAGGGGTCAAGCAGGCCCCTGCTGAGCAGCTGAGTGATGGCACCAGCTGTGGAGGGTGCCGAGCAGGGCCAGGCCTGAGTGTTCCCACCTTCGGGAAGGGTATGCCATCTCCTCTTCCCACATCTGAAGGCGGAGGAGTATCAGAGAGTGCTCCACTGGGAAAACAGGGCCTGAGCAGTTTAACTCGGAATGCACAGTGATGTGCAGGAATCGAGTCGTGCCCTACAGAGAGACCTCTGCTCAGACCTCCTGGGGATTCCTGAATGAGAGCCTAAAGCTACCCCTGGCTGAAGTGAATACTAGGCTAACAGACAGTCCTCCCTTACCATCTATCCCCCCAGTATATGTGCAAAGAGATAATGTTTGCATAATTAGCTAGATCGCGTTATAGACTGAAAGTAGGGCTGAAAAACAACAGACCTAGGCTTGAATTCGGACAAACCCCTAATAACCTGTGTGACTGAAATGAGTGGGAGTTAGACATATGACAACACACAGAGAATGTAAGCGAAATACTTTGCATTGGCAAAAAGTTCTGGACCCTGACTTAGACCCTGCCAGGGCCTGGAACTTTTGCAGCATTCATAAGTTTGTTATAACCCGGCCTTCCAGAAAAAGAGCAGTCTGGGGGTTTTCCTCCTGCCAGTGAGAAGGAAATATGTTTTAGTATCTATTCTGTAGTACAACACAGCAACAGATTTAAATATTTAGGAGAGTTCTTACTAGAGAGTGAATTAGATATCAGATATTTGGTATTTTGAAAGAAAGTCAAGATTCAAGTGATAGAGCGGAATTCTGTGTTCTTGTTCAGAAAGATCTGGACTAAATCCACTTGATTTCTTTAAAAAGTCCAAGATCTAAGAACCAACAGATATATCAGGATAAGCACACCTTCCCCCCCCCCCATCCAATTCCTTAAAATATTACAATTCTGAATTATACAGAAGCCAAATAAAAGTATCACTTAAGTCTCTGTGAAAAATGAAGGCTCCTTGTCCATCTGCTGAATCTCTGTGTCTATAAGAGAACACAAAACCCATCACAAATGGTGAGAGAAGGGAAAAGAGGTACACAAAACATCTAGCAAGACTTGAGGGAATAAGTGTTGGAAATGGTTACAAGCAGATTATGGAAACAAGGAACACATGCACACATAAATTGTCATTAAAAACACGGAGAACAATCTTGAAAGAAGTTGCAGTAACCCTAGCACAGCAGGGTTTGGGGCATTCCCAGCTGCCACGCTTCTGTGAAAAAGGGATTGAGAACAGATTCCCTGCTAATGTCTTTTCAACTGTGATGGCTCTAGGGTCTAAGAATCTGCTTTCTGTTAGGAAAAACTATAAAACTTTCAACAAAAGATGAAAAACATGTCTTCCATTGGCCTAAAAGCAGGAGATTTCCTTGCAGGAAGGAGTGGCATGTTGAAAATTGCCTGGAAAGTAGACTACAGAAAAAAATAACTGCCACTGGCAGCAAACTCCAACTCTCAGCAATTACAAAGCTAACAAAACAAACCAACAAAAATCACTCAAAATCTAGCATGTGTGCACAAGCCAGGTTTAATACTTATTTTAAACTTAAGACTGGGTCTTAAATTATATATAATGAGTGAAGGCCTTTCTTACTTTTATTTCCCACTGTAGTTATCGAAATTTGGCATCTGTCGAAATCTGTGTTAGGGCTTTTTCCAAATTCAAGACTTGGGGAATTCTGTTAGTGCAATAAAAATAACTTCATAGTGTTACATGGAAACATTAAAGCCTTTTTTCTGTGCTGCTCTTTCCCTTTTAAAAAAAAAAAAAAATACAGACATTGTTTCTTTAAAAGCCCCCATCTGCAAATCCCATTAGATGTGCATATAAGGTTTCGGATGATTAATAGTTGCCTGCTTTGCTTTGGTTGGAGGGACTGAGTGTATGTATGTTAACCCCTCCCTCCCCTCTCTCACATTTCACTTCACAAACTTGTCACTCTCTCACCAGCACAGCATTTAAAAAGTATTTCGCTCATGTCCAGCACTTCACAAGGAAGCAAGCTTCAGGCCTTGAGAAGCACTTCAAGGCAATCACTGCATAGATTTGGCTACTGTTTTCCAGTCGGGACAATGAAGATGTTTAGAAGAGTCCCCAAAGTAACAAATTTACAACAGCATAAAACCCTCAAACAAACTGTTGTTTAGGACAGAATTCTGTTCTGTAAAATTTGGAATATTTTCCCTCTGCTCCTCTTCTGACTTTGAAGACTTGAGCTATAACCAGTCACGAACGGAGCGTGAACAGGATTGGAAGCAAATGGATCCCACCAGCAGCAGCTGTATGCGCAGTCCACAACCTTCTGCCCCACTTTGGGGGTGCTTGCGAAGCACCCATGCGGATATCACCACAGCTTCAGGGCTGAACCACTACCCACAAGCACCATTCTCTTTCCATCAAAAATCAGATTTTGCTACTTACTCCGATTTCTCAACCTCCTGCCTGGTGACTGCTCCCCATAGCTTCCCATGTGAGGAGCAGGCATTTGTGGAGCAGCACCCCTCTTTCCAACACTCTGACTGGCATTTTGCAGCAACTGAGGCCAGAAGACGACCAAATCCAGGATTGGCTTTGGGTTCTGGGGAGTCAGAAAGTAGCAGTTCAAACCCAGTGAGTGCGGCAGTGGGCATGAATGAAGATGATGAGGTACCAGGAAATACTACAAATGAGACTGAGAAAAAGTCGTCCAAAAGAAAAAAGGAAAACTCAGGTAGGTGATATGAAATCAGGGTCGTGGGATAGCACAGGCTACAGAATGTATATACCTGTAAGATTAGGAATTAAAAAATAAAACTAGTGAGAATCACATTTTGTAATTCTCGATTGAGGAAACTTATACAATAACAACACTGAAACTAAACGGCTTATTCTTTGATGACCTCTGGTGTTTGTATTTCAGTCCTGCAGATGTTGTTTACTGAACCAGGCATTTTACTCACCATCACAATGCACATTTGCTGTAACTAAACAGGAATCACATGGCACGTATACACTGAGCTGAAAGTCCTAGGCTGTGGAGTTATTTTTTGCATACCTGCCATTTGTCCAAGCGTAAGAGAAAGGCAGTCAAAGAGCAAAGATCCCTCATCTTGAGCTGCCTGTGCTAGTTGGAAATGTTATACTAGGATTTTGACATCTCAGTTTATTGTAAGAAGATCCAAAGTCTCCCTTTAGATATAAATTCTATTTGGCCTCACTCAATATTAAATGTTTTTACTTCAAAACAGGAGGCACTACAAGTTTTCCAATCAGCACCATGTCCAACAATGCAGAAAATGTAGATAGTTTTCATTGTGTCATCCTAGTTAGTAAAACACATTCTTTCTACAGTGCAATATTCAATAATTTCATAGTTATATAGCCTCTGGTTTGCCGCTGTCTCAAATTCAGATATGTGAAATATGCATAAAATTGTTTTCTCCTAAGGAATCTGTTAAAAATTAAGATGCTTATATGCATTCATTTGCTATAGTATTAATTTACAAGATACTGTGTGCTTTTCCCCACAGCACTGCTAAGAAATGGGGAATATTTTCCAATATTCCCATTTTACAGGTAGAGAACACAGTGGTAAAAATATTTATTTATTTATTTATTTGTGTTTAGGTTTTACAGGCTGGCTACAGAATAGCCACCTCTAATCCAACTTTCATTTATCTGTTTTGGAATTTAAACAACCCTCTTGTATTTGTGCTCTGTCACACAATTAGTCCTAATCTCTGATCTCTTCCCTGTCAGAGAACACAGAAGATAATATTCCAAACCTCTTTATTCCCAGAATCTAATTTACTCCCCTCAATTATCTGTTTTATTTTTCTTTAGAAACCCAGCTTTGTAAGATTTAAGTTCATTTCTATTGAAAAAAGAATGTTTGGGGCAAAAATCTCCCCAAAACTCAAATGCAAAGAAGCTTTTTAAAAAAATTAAAAGTGGACAATGCTTTTATAAAAACATTTGCTAGTCATAGGTAAACAGAAGATTTCAGTATACTCAGATTAGAGGGATATCCTTATTCTTTAAGAGACTGATTCTAAAGCACATCACCCTGTTTTAAGTAGAAGACAAATGTTCTTTCTATTCTCTATTACCAGCACCCTTGACATTTTCTTTTCATACTTGCTGCTGTCCCATGTACTTTTCCTTACAGGGGAGCTGGAAGATAGATAGGGTATTTCCTACCTTCTAGCAACTGTTGCTGTCTGTAGAAGTCATTACTCTAGCGAATAATGGAAACATCCCAAAGGGGGTTCTCCATGGCTTTTAATTTCACTCCCTTCTGTGTTTACCAGACAGCAGATAGAATTATTTTATATCCCTTCTGCAAGCTTTTCCTTCTTTCTGTCCCCAGACGAAATAAAAAAAGTGAGGGGAAACTCCATGAGCAATTTCATTGTGATTTCCTTCACTTCTACGGCAGTTCCAGAAATGCAGCTGGACATAGCACATACTGATTGTTTATTCTAAGTGGAACATAAATCTTTTGCCACCTCTTCAGAATTTTCCTTGACTTCTTTAGAAAAACCTAGGTACTCAGAGCCTTCTCATCAGAGATTGGGCTAGAAAACACATTGAAATCACTTGAAGGGAAAACCTACAAAATAAACTATTTTCTTTTAGTTGGTGCTACATCTACCAAAATTTTTTACCTGAACCGCAATATAGATACAACATTACCATGATTTGTACTACTGTGTGCAAAACCCTCTGGTTCTTGTGAAGACCCTAGTTATTACAAGGTACACAGTGAAGATCTTGGAACATAGCTCTTTGCAGAGTATTCTGAGAAAAGTCTAAAATAAACATATTTCTCAGACAGAGAAGCAGAATAATGTAAAAATAATAAAAAATAATGAATGAAATTAAAATAATATTAAAATAAAAATAATAAAAATAATTTTAAAAGTTAAAAGCTTGTCAATCTTTAAAACTTTCTTTGAAGCACAGGTATATTAAAAACATTTAAAGAATGGCTTTACTATGGCAATAACAACAGTGGCATCTACTACATGTGCTCAGAAATAAATATGCACACAACCTTTCCTTCTACTACACTTTAGTTATTTAGATGCCATATTCAGTCTTGACTTCACAGGCTCACCAAATGACCTGAAGTTGTCCTAGTGTTAGCTTTCACAGCTGCCGTTGCTGTCCATCCACAAGCCACAGCCATTAACATTTTCAAATAAAATTTCAACATGGTTTGTCTGATCTGTCCTAAATTGTACCTGCATTATTATGCACTTGAAGTCCCCAGATCTCCAATAGTAGTAATATAACACATAATACAATTCACAGATTTATTTTATGTGAATGAAACAATACAGAATGCTAGTGAGGTTGCGGTAGAACAGAGAACGTGGTAACAGTGCGTACTCCCTTAACAACATTAGACATACAATGTCCTTGACTGAAGAATTCTGGAAAACTTTGTATTATGATGTGTAGAGCTGATCTGAATTCCCACCTACCAAATTTTGTCAGTCTTGTCACTAACTGTAAAGATTTTCTAAGCTTGCAATTCACATTTACAGTCATGGTGGCATAAAAAGCAGTAGATGAGAGTAGATAGCAGCAGATAACCTGAGACGGACTAAAAAGCAAAGCACAGAGAAGTCCCTGATCAGTTTAAAGTGGTTTGAGTGCAGAACATCATGTGTCATAGCCCTCTGTACACACCCTCCACTGAGCGTCATTCCATGAGGTGTACATTGAAGTAACTTTTGGATACTTTATCATCAGCTGCCAAATCAATCCACTGTTTATGAGGTTACCTTACTCAGACAAGCTTCCTGATACCTTTTAGAATTTTGTGTTCCATAACAGCAAAATCTATCAGTGTCTTACTACTTGATTTAACCATTTAGAACAAACACCGCCTCAAAGTCTTTAGTATGGGGAAAAATATTAACATTGTGTAGAGCTTCATATTTTTATTTTACTTTCTTCTACTTAGGGAAAAATTGCAGATATCTGCAGTACTTTGTAGAATAATAAACACCAGGTGCATTGATCTGGGCTATGGATCACCACAAATATCTAATAAGCAGGTAGGATCCTCCACATTCAGGCATTAGCAATCCACATACTTCTGTGTTTAAGCTGCTCTCTGAGCAATACAAATACCCTCTGTGATGCCAAAATCCTGTATCTGCACAGTGCAGAGTCCTTTTGCCTTTCTCTAAAGTATTGTTTTCTGGCTATTTTTAGTAGACCAGTTCAACCCAGTGAGGCAAAGTGAGTACTATTTCACAAGACTAGATTCTGATTCAGTTTTTTTGGTTTGGGTTTTTTTGGGTTGTTTTTTGTTTGGTTGGTTGGTTGGTTTTTTTAAGAAAAAAAAAAAAAAAAAACCAAAACAAAACAAACCAAACCAAACTGTCAGTACAGTATGAAAATCTTTCCAAACTGATTTGTCCTTTTGCACAATGTTTGACATTTCCCACATTCTGTTGTCAAAACTCTGAAGCAACTAGGCTTAATTTCCACTTTTGGAATATCACAAAACCTCCAGCCATGAATAACCATATGTCTCTTTACAACCACCATGTGGCATGCAGCCTGGATGACAGAACGTGAGCTACACCTCCTGCTCTGTTCTCAGAAATACTTAGTTATTTAAAAATCCTAACTTTTTTTTTATTATTATTTTGAGATAAAAATTGGTGAAATTGCCCCTTCGAAAGGATGTCTTTCACACAAGGGTAAGTGCTGAGCTCACATCTATATTCAGGTTGCATTAGCTATGTTTATCCCAGGTTCATTCGACAGAGGTGGCTTTAGTTTCTGTGTTATTGGCATCGGCGAGTTGCTTTACCCCTCCACATGCTTCCTAGGGGAGCAGAGACCCAGGGGGAAGCTCTTGAGACCAAGGTTCCCAGAAGCTGGTGGCAAAGTTCCCAGCAGGGAGTCCACACTTCAAATCCTGCTTCCCCCCCACTCTCTGAAAAGTCGCATTTGTTAGCCTTTGGGAAACGTGTGATGGTGTGTTTGTTCAGTAAGAGATGAGAATGAAGGGGATTGTACGATGACAGGCAAAAACATAGGGAGAAACTTCTGGGATTTTGTTTTCATACTTTACCCAACTTTCGGGGAATTTCTGAAGTAGCAAGAACAATGTTGATGCAAACAAGACTAATTTCCTTTAAATGGAGAGCAGTACAGCTGCAACATGCGATACACTAGTCCCTGCATATTATCACTGACAGGAACTATGTTCGCTATGTCTATTTCTGATGGCCAGAGCTAAGATCAGGTCAGTCATGAAGACTACAGTCACACCTGACAAATTTTTCCAGCTTTATTACTTTGACAACCAAAGGGACATCTAGAAGATGATGCTGCATGTTGTGCTCATTGTTACCATTTTGTGTATCATTTTTCCATAGAAATACTATGCTAGAACAGACAGAACTTCATTTCACACTGGTTACACACAAAAATTAAGTAATTAGTCCCCAACATAACAAATAAACCTACTAGCATCTTCAGTTCAAAGAATCTAGCCAACCACAGGAAGAAGAGGGGAGAAAGAGCCAAGGAACTTGTAAAACAGACTCCCTGAAAGATTGGCAGTTTGGGCTTTGCTCTCTGAAACAAGTGCATTTTCCTTTGCATCATTTGGAGATTCTTCATAGGCACCAGTTTTAAAAACACAGGAAAAATAATAAAAAAAAGGGGAAAAAATAGATTGCCACAGTCTGAGGCAAAGTCAGTTTGTGCTTGCTTTCCAGCATAGTTTGTGCAGCATCCCTTTGGCTATGGCTTGAAATTTGTCTTTGAAATATGACTCTCAACCACATTGCAGCCAAGTGTACAAATAGCAAAAAGGCTTTTCAGGGCAGCACAGTGACAAGGACGATACTGAGACCAATCATGTATACAGATAACAGATCTCCTTGTAGTTTTCATTTAGCAAGGATTAGAAGCAGCTCAAAGTCTGCAGTATCGTGTGCCAATTGAAAGAACACTGGTTCTCTGGTGTTGCTTGTTTTACCACGTTCCTCCCCACATCCCTGCCCTCCAATATTTCCAGGCCATATGCTATCTTAGGGTGCTCACCTTATGCCCTGCACCAGAGGTGTCACCATGCACTCATAATATATAACACATCATACACACAAAGTGCTAGCTTTGCTGCCTGTTGCTGGGTAGATCAGGGGAAAGTGATAATATGTATATAAGGAATGAAAGTAAAGATGTCAGGAAAGAAATTATTTCAGTGCAATGGTAGCAAGGAATGAGAGCTTCTTTCCCATAGCTGCTCATCTCTGACCTTGCAGACCCAGGCCTGCACTTCTGCAGTTTTGACAACACACCCTTTCCTGACTCTGAGCTGTCCCACCTTTGTCCCCTGGAACCCAAGACTGACAACAGTGATCAGTCATGCTGAGCTTGAGGGGGCATAACACAAATTTCTTAAAACTTCCACTGAGTGCTTCAATTAGCAGTTTATATCAGACCTCTGCAATACACATGTTCACACAAATCAATGTAACTGCAAATTACACAACGTGTTCTTGCCTCTTAGAAAACCAGAACTCAAGCAACAAGGCAGAAACAAGCAGCAAATCACGGAAGGAAAGGACAGCTTTTACAAAGGAGCAGCTACGGGAGCTGGAAGCTGAATTTTCCCACCATAACTACTTGACAAGACTCAGGAGATATGAAATAGCTGTGAACCTGGATCTCACCGAGAGACAAGTACTTCCTGAATTCCTGCCTCCCCAGCTTCTTCTTCCTCCCCCACAACTTCTCCCTAAAGCTAAAAACCAGATATGTTACTCAAGGGTGTAACTTTTGCAATGGCACAGAGGTATTTTAATACAAAGCTTCCACATTATTTTAAAACACATTTGTTACAAATTTCTGTAAGTAGCTAATAAATGTAATTTTGTTTATCTAAACTGAAGACATATCTGAGAATAACTGACATCTACTGATCTGGTTTTTGTGTTTACCACCACTCACTGACATATCAGTAAGTACCAAGGCTTACAGATGGAATATGAATATCACTTTAGACTGTGATTACCAGAAAAATATTAGAATGATATATGTTTTATAAATGCATTCTTCCGGGGCCAGGTAGTATTTTGAGGTGATAAGGAAAGACAAAAATGCTTCCACAGAGAGAGTTATTTCTGTTCTCTCATTGTGATCTCAGTCAGGGCTTCCTTATCAAAGTGTAGTGGACAATAGAAGAATTGCTTAATTAAGTGAAGCAAATTAGGATTCCTGAAGCATTAGATTGGATGGACTAGATGTTAAAAGACATTAGATGCACTGTGCCCATTGGATTGACATGCTTAGTTGACATAAAGGCAGATTCTAGGCAAAGCACTCATACTACCTTTGCGGGTCTCAGAAAAACATCTGCCTGTAACAGTTTAGAAAAAATTGCTCCTGCCTTTGTTAGAGAGATGAATTATTTAAACTTGTGAGGTTCCTTTCATATTTTCTTCTAGTATTCCACAAAACATCTGTCTATCAATACACACATATATGCGTAGGTCTGTTTATACAGCTCAGATTGAGAAAATAAGTAATTATTTCCTTTTTATCACCCAGGTCAAAGTATGGTTCCAAAACAGAAGGATGAAGTGGAAACGTGTTAAAGGTGGGCAGCCAGTGTCCCCACATGAACACGATACAGAAGATGTAGACTCTGCTGCCTCTCCCAGCTCTGACTAATCCTTGGAACAACTGAAGAGGAGTATGGAGAAAGTAATTGATCAGAAAGTGGACGCAACACTACTCCAAGTCAGCTGCGCCATGAGATGATCCTGCTTGCAAAACCCATAGCCCCAAGTCTGTAAAAGGTGTCTGATGCTTTAGGTTACAGAGGCAATTAAAGAAAACAGGGGGGAAAAGCCAAAGGAGGGCATGACTTTGCTTTTTGTCTGAATGAATTTAACTCTCTCTGGAATCATCTTGCTATCGCAGATGTGTCTTCAGAATAAAAGTTAACTAACATTGAATATAAAACAGAAGTAATGTTATCTAGTTTCTCAAACACTGAAAATACAGGTTGTCAGTCCGCAAGTGATAATGCAACTGTATTCTCATCCAACCTTTCCCTGGTCACATCCATTCCTTCTGCATTTGGACTTGACAAGTCACAATTTCCTTGTGCTTTACTTTCAGATAAATAAATACTTTGATAGTCACTGATTTTTCTTGCAATATGAATTGAACACCTGCATGTCTAGGTAGTAAGATTACAAAATAAAAATTTGAGTCCAAAACTATTTACACAGGATTCTACTTACCAGTTTCAGAAGAGATGGCTTTCACATTGATAGTCCAAGAAGACATGTGCCTTGCTGATTGTAGCAATTTGCAGAGGGAGATTTCTTCCAAGCTTACTGTAAATCCTGCAATTAAATTGCTAGATCTAAATTTCAAATATTTTTTTCAAAGCAGTCATTACCAAATGTCACAGCAGGTAGAGTAGAGGTTAAGCCCCTCAACACAATAGCTATCACTATTTTGTTTTCAACATTTAAATCTACTTTAAATAAAGGAAAACTATTCTTCAGTGCTGCATTTCTTTTGGATTTATGGAACCTCTCTGGAAATCCACAGTTTTCTGTGAATTCAGGATTGCCAGGAGAAGCAGAAAACAATGCTTTCTGGAGTGATTTAACTGAGTTTACTGTCTACAAATTCTTGTTTCATTTTCATTGGAGACAAGACTTTCCTCCAAATAAGCAAGTACATATGTAAAATTACATAGAAAAGCATCTGTTAATACAGGTATTATGTGGATTTACACTCATTACTTACCGTCTTTTAAATCAGTATCTGGATTTATGAAAACTACAGTTAAGTGACCAACTTAGCCCTTTTTGCAGATTTCTCATTAAATTGTTATTTTTTTGTGGAAAAATAATTTTTAGTGTTTATAACTAATTAAATATTTCATACAAATTAATAGTATCTGTGCTTTTCTAACCATGTAAACATATTGTGCCTCTGATCAGCTCTGCCTTTGGCAGGGTTTGAGGACACCAAGAAACTTTACTAGCAATGTTTAAAGCCACTAAAGCCGACACAGCCAACTGTCCATACTTCTAATATAAATAACACATAAAAGAAGCTTTCCAATACAGAATCATAAACTGTTATAGCACCACCAGAAGTCTTAAGAACACTGCCACCTGAAATTATCCTCCCTTTCAGCAGTAGCTTGTAGTATATAGAATTATGAAGTTTTAGAAAAGCATAGTGACTGTTTCCACTTCTTCCGTCTTTTTATTTAATGTACTAATGCTATATTTTAAACAAAATTTTACACTAGCATATCACATTATGACTATTGATAATATTGAAACTTTGGTTTAAATATTTGACAAGTAACCATTATTTGCAGCTGTGGCACATTATCTCCCTTTCATCTTACTCTGATACACTGTTATTAGGGTTTAATTTGGACTGCAGGTATGCTAGATAAAAAGTTGCATATCTGGATGATATGTTTGTAAAGTTATCTGTGGTTATTCCACTTGTAAAAGACCTCAAAATAGATAAATATCAACTTTTTGGGGGGAACAGAGATGTTGTATTCTTCTCAAAGAGATGATTACTGTGTCTACTAAGAAAAAACTTCCACTACATTCCTTCTTTAACACTTCCAAGCTCTATTTGACAGATGAAAAATCAAACAGTGTAGAGTATATATTTGTGAAAAAAACAATTAAAACTAAAGAATTATTTTTAAAAATAAATTATTTAAAAACAAAGAAACTTGAGAAGTGAAAAACTATACAAAGCATTTTCAACTTCAAACTAAACCCACTAGATGGAATGGAGAAAGAAGAATCCCTCATTAAAAAGAGAGTCATTAAATCTATTACGTATTTGACAAATTGAAGACTGAGAGTTCTTTCAGTGTTCCATGGCAACAATGAAATATCAGGTGTTTCATGATGTTTATGCACAGGGAAACAAGGGCCTTGCTTTGCAGGACATTCCTTACTAGCTTGAGGAACAAAGTGCCTTCAAGCCAGATCTCCGCAGCAGCAGCTGCTTGCCACTCACCGAGCAGTAGGATAAGGGAGCTTGCTGTTTCACTGTAAGGGTTCCTACGCCATACTACTTGCAGCATGCCTACAACTCTTACCTCCTATGAACAAAAGAAAACACACACACCAAAAAAAAAAAAAAAAAAAAGAAGAATACTGCATCACTGATCTTTCACAGGGCCCCTGCACAAACTATGTTGTGATCACAGCATGGATGCAAACATATGTAAATCCTGTGAGCGTATTCACAGAGGGATATTCCCATTACTTCTCAGACCAGCTAGACAGATGTTCAGCAAGCACTGTTACCCCTGAAGAGTCCACCTATCTCTCTGAAAAAAAACCCATGCACTTTGTCACCATAAGCTTAAATGAATGCTGCATTTAATGCAATTTATTATTTAATAAATAATCGGTTAAAATAGCTAGAAGCATGCATGTCCTCTCTCTGAGCTATATCTACCCACGTCTCTTTGGATCTTTATGGTAAGGAAACACTACCCTCAGTTTCCTCCCAAGACATTTGTTTGTGAATGGTACGATATTTCGACGGGAGATCTTGCTGACAGGAAGTTATGGCCGGATTCCAGTTACTCCAGCAGCAATAAGCTGAGGTGTACTATGACAGAGCACTATTATTTGGGTTACTAACCTCACATTAATAATAGGTTAATAACCTCACTATTCAGGTTACATAAAACTATTTGGGTAAAAAAATTGCCTATGCACAGATAAGAAGCTACAGTTTACTGTAACTTTAAGAGCAGAAAATGTCTATGCCTCTGCTTAAACCTTGGTGCCTTCTGATTAAGCCTCTGACTACACTCACTAGTTTAGCTCTTGGCAAACACTGAAGAAAGCTGTTTTTGTCAAGAACTCTGGTGCTAACTCAGACATCCTACCCTCCTCTCCAGGGAAAACAAAACAACATGAGGTAGTTCTTTGTTACTCATTTCCTTGTAAACAATTAAGCCAATTACACCCTCTACATAACCTCACTGCCTCTGTTGCTGTTAGAAGGTTTGCAAGCTTGCAGAAGCAGCTTGTGATGAAAATTTTCAGGCTCTCGGCTACCATCATAAACCAAAATCAGCTCCTCACCCAAAAAGAAGGCTAATAAATCTTCCCTTTCAAGACAGCTGTCAGTGGTAGTATATTGCAACCTAATTCACTTAAAAGCTAGTAAATGGGATCTCAGTCCATACCCATAATTACAGCTCCTAAACAGTTCTTGCTCTGTCTTTTAAGAAATAGGTATGAGTCACCTGTGAGATTATTTTACACTTAGGCAGTTTCTGCATGAAACCATCTGCTTATGCTAAGACTTCAGTGTTTTGTGAAGGAACATTTCACATCAAAGCATTTGACCCCTGAACCTCTGGTGCCACGAATCTTTCAGGCAAAGTCTGTTGTCTGGGAGCAAAATCTCTGACCTGTAATTATTTTTTGCAGAAATACACATCAGGCTTTATTCTCCTCACAGAAAGGAAGTAAACTACCTGGGGATGTCTGACAATGCTTCCCATGCCTGATTCTCAGTAAATAATCTGAGCACACAATCACCCACATAATATCGGAAAGGTCTGGCAGGTCTTCCTCAGGAAGCACATGCAGACAGAGAAGCAAGACTTTCTGCTCATATAAGGCCAGTGCAAATGGCCCACAGGGAAAGGGAATATCTGTATAAACACAAAAATATGTGCTGTAACCCTCTATACATGTAACCCTCTGCTGCCTCTTCTAAATACAGAAAGAGAACCACTTTCCTTAGAGTCACAGATTTTATGGACATTTTATCTTCCTAGCCAGATGCCAACATAGCATAGGCGCTAATTTGTTTTACGTAGTTTCTGTATCCCATGTTGTTAGCCCTCAGTTTCTCTGCATCTCTCTACAGCATTAAGCTAGTGACTTTTCCAGTCAATGGAACTACTTGGGCAAGTTAAAAATAACGCAAAGGTGACTAAGAAAGCATGTACGCATGTGTGTACATTTGATGAAGTCTTACACAGATCCACAACCCCACTAGAAAACCATTAGATGGTCCATAACTTCAAAGAATCACTGATTTTCAATGTCAACTACACCATCACTACCTCCACCTTCTCCAGCTAAATCAGTTTAGTAGAGATTAGGAAGCTTAGCAGCAATGGCATGATTTTAGAAGATGCCGGTACTATGAATTCCTGATCTAGTTTTCTAGATGTTGTCTAATAACATTGCATGGTTTTTCATTGAGTAAACTGCAGATATAGACCTCTGCAATGAGCTCTCTAATTCATATGTGAATAAATATTTACTCATTTGGGGTTTTTTAATGATGTCTTCTATGTTATATGGTTCAAAGGACACAGACAAAGGTCATTCCAGCAAAATACAGGATTCCTTATTATTCACTCTTGACAAATTCCCTTGAGAAATGGTATTGGATTTTGTACTTTGAGACAATAAGGGGAAAAATAAAAATTAATTTTAAAAAAAAAAAAAAAAGGAAAGTAAAAGGAAAGAAAAATAAAGAGAAAAGTCCTGCGGTACAGACAGATGAATCCATGGTATTGTTGTGGTTTGAGCCTACCCAGCAGCTAAACGCCCCGCAGCCGCTCACCCACCCTCCCCCCACTTGGGACTGGGGAGGGAATCGGAGAGGCAAAGGGAGACTCGCGGGTTGAGATAAAAACAGTTTAATAACAGTGACAGAACAATACGCTGACAGCAGTATCAACAGGTAATGTACCATACAGCCGCTCACCTCCCACCGACCCCCGCCTGCTCCCGGCCGGCGATCCCAAACACACAGGCCCCACAGCCACACTCCCAGGAAGTGGCAGCCCCTCCCCACCCACTCCTGCCTTTATATAGTGAGCGCAGTGTCACATGACCTGGACTATCGGCCAATCGGGGCCCAGCCCTCCAGCTGTGCTCCCCCCGCCCCCACGCACAGGTGAGGGCACTGGGCCCTGGGGAGCCCCGGGGGTCTCAGGGGGCTGCAGCTCCTCCCGCTGCCCGACCAACGGGAGCTCTAGGCCAGCCCCAACCAGGACAGGTATTTAGTTCAATGTCCAGTTAAGGTAGAAGGGAAGCACTCTAGGGTTGCTAGTTTTATTATTGGTACTACATTGCAAGGACAAGACTTTAAATCAGTC